AGCTGGCTTCCGATGCATCAGAAAGCTCCACCCCCGACTCTAAACCCGATGTCAGAATAGAGACCGACGCCGCCATCTACGAAGACGGCAAGGTCACGCTCAAGGGCAACCCTCTCAAGACGACGAAGGATATCCTGTGTCCACGCTGCCACCTCCCCCGACTCCTTCATCCCACCGACGGCAAGGGCGCGAGGAAACCCGACCCTGGCGTTGTCTACTGCAAGAAGGTGCCTTACATTGACAAGCCTGGCTTCGATATTTATGGCCAGACGTGGGTACAGCCGGGACCCGGCCGTGGCAAGAAGAAGAAGGACATGAAGCCGGACCCAAACATCGAACCGAACCCAAGCGCCCCGGATCAACGACCTCCCAACGTCCTCTCCTTCCCCTCCGCCACCTGCAGCAAGTGCAAGCGCTGCATTCTCGTCACCAGACTGAACAACCACATGGGCTCCTGTATCGGCAACAGCGGCAGGAACGCCAGCCGAGCAGCCGCGGCCAAGATTTCAAACGGCAGCAACGGGAACAGCCAGAACGACGGCACGCCTCCTTCGAGTCAAAAGGCCACACCAGTCCCGACCTCGCGAGCCTCGAGCCCCAAGAAGCGTGCCAGTGAGGAGGCGGAAGAAGACGGCACGTCCGACGCGAGCGGACCCAAGAAGAAGAAACTGAAGCCATCCCCAATGACAAAGAAGGTCATCCTCAAAACGAAGGGGCCAAAGAAGGACAAGGTCAAGAGCGGCTCGCTCCTGAGCCAGGAACACAAGCCCGACGACGATGATGGCGACAACTCGACGGTCGAGGTGGCCCCGAAAAAGAAAGTGGACAAAGACATCGGCAAAGGCATCAGCCCCACGAAGAAACTCAAGCTCGGCTCCAACAAGCCACCTCTGTCATCACCCATGAGTAAAAATGGACGAGAAGGAGATGCAGAGTCTGAATCCAGTGGAACTTTGTCATCACCTCCTCATGCTTGAGCTGGCTGCCTACCTCTTCAGCTAGCGAGAGCCTCTGTCCATTCGCTGTCTATCTTTTCGTTTTGCTCTCTTGTCGGTCGTGCATCAGGATCTGGCTGCTACCCGTTCGTTCCTCACGACTATTGCTTTGCTCTCAGCGGGGACTGGCTTTGACTGTAACATATTAACCACACCTTGAAGTTGCACTCGGCAACATGTCTCTTGTTTTTTTCTCGGCCTCTTCGGAAGGCTGGCCAAAATTTACCAATCTGCATCCCCTGGCATGGGGCGGCGGCATCGGCGTTGGGTGGTTCTGGGTACAGGAAGGCCTGGGTACAGGAGGGCCCTTGTGTATAAAAAAACCAATACTGCATACAGAATTGCTTCACTAGCCATTGCTGGCACCTTTGAAATAGTGCAGCTGCATGTGTACGTGCATTAGTGACCAGCGATGGTCCCATCGTCAAATGACTTGCCACGACAATATGATCACGGTTAATGGAGTGTATATCTCGGCGAACACCAATCGCGATTCATTACCTTTGCGGTTGCATTCACGCTACCATTCTTATTCAAAACCACCAAAACTTAAGTCGTGTCGATCCGCCAGGCGTCCCAATCCTACCTACCTTAAAAGAACGCCAAACTCCATGCCATGCATCACATCGAGCCGCTCGGTAACTTTCCCGTACAAAGATGAACGCCCCCAGCCCGACCATCACATCACATCACAGCTCGTCAGCCTCGATGACCCGCGCCTTGAGAATCTTGACCTCGTCAACAGGCCTGTCCTCGGCCCCCGTCTTGACGAGCCCCATCCTCTTGACAACGGCGAGCCCGCTCTTGACGCGGCCAAAGATGGTGTGCTTGCGGTTGAGCCACGGCGTCGGCGCCAGCGTGATGAAGAACTGGCTGCCGTTCGTGTCGGGGCCGGCGTTGGCCATGCTGAGGATGCCGGCGCCGTTGTGGCCGAGGTCGGCGTGGATCTCGTCGGCAAACTTGTCGCCGTAGATCGAGGCGCCGCCGCGGCCGGTGCCCGTCGGGTCGCCGGCCTGGACCATAAAGTTGGGGATGATGCGGTGCACGAGCGTGTTGTCGTAGTAGCCGCGCGAGGCGAGCGTCGCGAAGTTGGTGCACGTCTTGGGCGCGTGCGCCGTGTAGAGCTCGAGCAGGATCGTGCCCTGGAGCGAGAGAGGTCAGCGACCGGCATGGGAACGGGCAGAAAAGAACAGGCAAGGGAGGAGGGGGCGGCTTGCCATTGTGGTTTCGAGGGCGACGGTGGTCATTTTGGGGGTCAATGATCGAACTCGTACGAGCAGCTGTGGCGGTGGTTGCGAATGTCGGCGAAGGGAGCAAAGCTTGGGGGTATAAAGCAACAGACTGTCGAGGTCGCGATGCCAATCGAGGGGTCCGAAATCTTCAGGCAAGGCTGAGGATCACATAGCGGGATAGCTTCCAGCCACAGCGTCTCAATCCGGCTACGTCATTGGCTAGAAGGTCAGACACGGCATTTGAACACAACTGCGCTTTCAGCAACGCGCCCGCTATCCTTGAGTACCTTATTCCACAGGCCTGAAAGTAGCCCTCCACCAAGTCGGTCGATCATTGCCATGTATGTACTTTTATTACCCTCATGATGGCTTCCTTTTCCATTCATGCGCGCCTTGTGAACACTGTGTCGCAGCCCACTGACACTCTTCACACAGCTCCTGCCTAGCGCCACGTTGCACCTGCCTGGACTACTCCAGTGTACGCCACTTCCTGGGAGCGCCGCATCGTGCACAACACTTGGAGTGAATAGAACAGCTTCAGCATTCTGCTGCCTATTTCAATTTACCTGAAAAGCTGTCAAGCCCTAAAATCTGTTGCAGGGCTTTTTCATTTTCCTCGCTTGTCAATAACCACAAGCTTTGCAGCCCAGGCTTGCTCTCTCATCCACATCGGAGAATACTCCCAACGCAATCCTCATCACAACAGCGCAACAATCCACCAGGGTAGACCGTTGTTGAAGAACTGCAAGACCCTCCCCCAGCGGCCAACATGGCCTCCCCTGACGCAAAGTCCGACCTCCTTCCACGGGACGAGGGCGCCGTTGCTTTGTCGGGAAATACGACTACGGTTGCGAGCTCCATCTTCGCCTGGAAAGACCCTCACTTCCTCGCTGTCGAGGTCAAGCTCATCTTCACTGCTCTTGCTCTCATTTACATCGGTGCTCACGCCGCCCTCAGACGACCTCCTTCCGCGGCACCTTCTGTCAAAACCAAGTCCGGGAGGCCGCGGAAGAAGAAGCCCTCCGACGACGATGTCTTCACTCAAGGGCTGCTCCCCTCCGACGCTATCATCTTCCCCGTCATGGCCGGCATTATCCTCGTCGGCCTGTACTACCTCATCCAGTGGCTCCAGGATCCCGCCATTCTCAACAAGATTCTGCGAGGCTACATCTCCATCATGGGAATTCTCAGCTTAACCAGTCTGATTGCTAACACTATTCAAAATGCCACAAGCTTCCTCTTTCCTCTCTACTATCGCAAAGGACGCACCACCTACCTCGTCGATGGTATCGAGGAGCGCCTCCGACCGATTACTCAAGACGGCAGCCAAGACGTGGTCACTCCTGCAGACCCGACGTCTCCGATCCCCTGGGCGCCTTTTCTCGTTCGCAGCCCCAGGGCGCGGCGTTACCTGTGGGAGATCCGTCACCTCATCAGCGAAGAGTGGGCGGTGAAGCTCAAGCTCCACGGATTTTTCAACGAGAAATTTTCAATTCAGTTCAGTCACATTTTGGGCTTCTTGCTCGCCTGCGCTGTCGTCGCGGCATACCACGTCACCAACCACATGGTGCTTTCCAACATCCTAGGATACGGGCTGTGTTATGGAACGTTCTTGATAATGTCACCGACCACTTTCCCAACCGGCACGCTTATCCTCTGCGGACTGTTCGTTTATGACATCGTCATGGTCTTCTACACGTAAGTTGGGTTCCCGACTCTCACTAGACAATTAAACTCACATGACCTCAGACCGTACATGATCACTGTCGCAACCAAGCTCGACGCGCCCATCAAACTTACCTTTGCGTCGGCCGCCAAGTCCAGCATCCTCGGTCTTGGTGACATCGTTGTTCCCGGTATGGTCATGGCTCTGGCTTTACGGTTTGATCTTTGGCGCTTCTACAACAAGCAGGTCAAGTACGTTGCCACAGAGCTGAAATCAAAGGCGACTGGCCCAACATCCGATGACGTTGTCGTCGCTAGCGAGATTCAATACATGGCGAAGAAGACTCCATATATCGACGTCACTAACTCTTGGGCAGACCGCTTCTGGGTATCGACTTGGCCTGGCTTGCTCACAATCTCGAATCCTGGAAAGGACGTCCCAATCTCGGTCCAGGTGGCTGCCTTTCCCAAGACTTACTTCTACGCATCCCTTATTGGTTACACTCTAGGGCTGCTGGTGACACTGGTCATGCTGGTTGTTTTCAGGCATGGCCAGCCTGCGCTGCTGTACCTCGTGCCGGGCGTCCTCGGCTCTCTCTGGTTGACAGGCCTGGTCAGGGGCGAGTTGAAAGAGATGTGGACCTACACTGAAGACGGCACCCTAGACACCCAGGACGTCATCGTCGAGCTCGATAGCTCCGGCAACGTCATCAAGGAGATCAAAGATAACAAACAGGGCACAGATGACAAGGAGAGTGAAGAGAAGAAGAAAAAGTCGGAGCAGGCAACAAAAGCGGCCACGTCCGGTTATGATGTCTTCCACTTCTCGGTCAGGGCGCCGCCGCGCGGTCCAAGCAAGGCGAATGTTGCTCAGGAACTCGAGAGGAAGGCTCTCTAAATAAAGTATAGAGATAAAACCAGAGTAGATACATCGGCGTGGTATAGGGCTCTTCCGGGATCCTGTCAATTGAAATTGATTGCCACCAGCGTGCGCGTCAACGAGGATGGTGGTTCGGCCTCTACATCCTGTCATATCCCCTGTTCTTCCGATTAACAGAAGATTCGTCTTGTGGACAGTGTTCGGCTTGATAAAGTATTCAGTCTTCGAACTTGATAAGTCCCATACCGGGCAGACACAGAAGACTGGCTGTCGGATTTCGAACGCACATCAAGTTTGGAAACGAGACTTTAGATACTTTCGCAACCAACGAGACACAAAGGTTAATGAGAAATATCATTCTGAAGCGAACGTCATCTTCAGCTCGGTTGAAATGGATGCCAGCTGACTACAAGCCTCAACCTCCGCTTTACTCTTCAAGTCCAGTTCACAAGTCGGCCATTGCCGTACAACATTGCAATTTCAGCAGAAGCGGACAAAATCTCTTGCTATCACACCATGTAAGTCAATGGTAAGATGGTTTCGAGAATCTTGGCTCATTTTCATAAGTACGGGGTCTAGAGGAGAGGGGGTGAAGGACCATAGTCATTAATGTTTTGCTCATGCCTGTTGCTGTTCTGCAATGGCAGGAAAGTCTAACACGAACCTTGCTGGTGTCCAACTGTAGAGCTGAGTTTCGACAACAGCCACCATGCCGTCGACCTTGATGTACAGTTTGTGTTGCCTTTCTCCGCTACCTCTTGCCAATCGCTTTTATGAGCCATGTTGACCTATATTGGCCTTCCCGGGCCACATCGTTTCCAACACATCTTCCTTTCCTCGGATTCTTTACATATCACATTGAATCAGTGCAGATACATCGAAAATACTTGCTTCAACGGTCAGAGTCGAATAGTCTCGTTCGTTCGTCGAATCGCCAAGCACAAACTTACACGAAGCCGTCCAATTCATTCACCCATATCCTCTGATTTACTCCGGCGATTCACTCCTGTTGTTGGCCAGAACAGGTTGCACCTATCTTCTGGGTTCTCTGGCATTGAATTCTCTAGACAGCCTCCTCTGTTCCGGTATCGACAACAACACACAGAATCCACCACAGGATTCAATTACTTGCTGGCTTTGTCCTCGACATCCAATCGCCACTCAACGTCGTTGAAACTTTGAGTATATCAAACCACATTTGAGGTGCCGATCGTTTGCGCAGTCTTTCATCCTATCGTTGAGATGGCGAGTCCGCCTGGTCACAATGAGTTCTTCAAGACTGTCTTGAACAACCCTCATAGCATGAACGTGCCTGTCAAA